ATATCAAAACGAGCGGCTCGGATATGTCTGCATTTGAGAGCAACTGGCCTTGAAATGAGCAATATATGGCCATTACAAATTCATCCAAAAAATGAAAAACATAGTTTTCATAAATGGAAACTCGTTCACTGAGGTTGCACCAGAATAGAGTAAAACCCATTTATGGTAAGTTAGGCCTACAATGGTCCTGAACGGTCCGTTTGAGCTAAAAATTAGAATATGGGGTTTTTTAACATTCTGGATCTAATGGAGGTAGTCTGGTACTCATCTGAAACCCCGATAATATGGTTGTAGTTATAAGGTCCCTTTTCAGCATGATAGGAATTGGAATTGAAAGCCAACTTTCATCCTGAATAGCTAAAAACTTGTCTGATTGCGACGAAACTTGACAAGTGTCATTAAAGCCTCTGAAGCTACTGTCTCATTCATTTTGAGGTCGATCTGACACATTTTCGAGATCACCCAATAATAGGCGTATTTCTACAACACTCCCGTGGTCCACAAGCGTTTTTGGTAGCTGCAGGGCCAAGTTGCGACTGGCTCCTTCCTTATTCGTCCTGAGGATACAAGTACATCAAAAATACTGCATAACATTCTCCTTTATTCATGTTTATAAGGAAAGGAACGGGAGTACTAACGCTATTGCTAGAGGAGTAGGGTTGTAACTGTGCTTTCTTTTATTCTCTTCTTTTTCTTTTCTTTCTCTGTTACCTTTTCTTGTAATTTTTCATCCCATTAATGAAATTTTACCGTTAAATGTTCAAAACAAAAGTTTGAGAATATTTATTTTGATAACTTTGAGCTTGATTAATAAAACAAATACAATCACCCAATTTCACATCCAATGGTCAAGATTAATTGTAATCACCGTCTACCAAATGCAAATGATCTCACTATATGTTAGTTTTAGTCACGATAGTTAACCTGACAGTTTGTGGATACCCTAACAACCAGTCAACAACCTGACTGTCGTTCGATTGGCCGACTTACAGTCGATTGCCTGACTTACAGTCGATGGCCTAACTTACAGTCGATGGTTTGAGTTACTATTGATGGCCTAACTTACAATCGATGGACCGATTCACTCTTAATTTCCAGAATTTTTTTAGCAACACCTCCCCTTAATCGAGATTTGTAACAAAATAATAATTCCAGAACAATTTTAGTACCACTTAAACTCCCGTATAAATCAGAGCAGGTTTCAGCGTTACATCTGAGAACAAAACACTCCTAGTACCAGTCGGACGCTCGTAGGAATTAGAGGTTATATCAAATGACTATGTATATATGCAGGCACGAGAGGAGCCCACTTTTTTCGAAATGTTTAATGCTACCGACTCGATTACAAAACCAATATGCAAATCGTACACTACGAGAACACTCTCGGAATAAAGCCAGATCAGAAAGAAATTCCCGAATCTCTGAATTGCATGTCCAAAGATTTGTTCAAAACCACAATAAAACCATACTGATATGTTCCGTTCCCAAAATATTTCAACAGACTATTTCAAATTATGCCCAAATAACTTCTCTGAATTACCATGAAGATACTTCCTTAAGCATTCAATAAGCTGTAACAATCTCTACCGTAGGTAAAGACATTATGAAACATGGCAATACCCATCGTAAGTCACTCTAAAAATGCATTTAAAGAGAGAAAGGAGTACGATTGTTTTGATTTTCACACACCAACTAACAAACTTTCTCACCCTCTAGAATGAAACTGAATATATAAAGGACAAGAGGATGTTAGGTCATGAAAACACAGGACCACATCATTAGCAAAACATGATCTCATGTGATGACCATGTGGCAAATATAAAAAGTATTAAAAGGAGAGAGAGATGAGAAGGCGCCAAATGTCGCCCTAAGCTTAGAAAATCAAGGAAACTCATGTGTTAACTAAAAGGAGTGTAGAAAACTTAAAAAAGACATGTGTTCCCTAGAACCACCCAAAGCAAAGAAGCCAGGCATAAAAGAAGAGGAGGTAGTAAAGTCTTGTTGTTTTGAAAAAAAAACAAAAAAATAATATTTTTAACAACTATGCACTTTTTCTTTAATTCTTAGGGCCATAACTATAACTTTTAGGAAGCATCCAAGTCAAATAAAATTTAAACAGAGCACACCCAACGATGCGAATAATAATGCGAATAATAATGTTGTAAGTAGCCTAGCAATGAGCGAATATTTTCGTAAACTAAAACATCATAGAAGATGATTCCCTTCGAAGGCCTTTAAATGGAAGATCAAGAGCATACCATACCTTGGGAGCTCTCGCAACCTGTGCGTCATCCGAGGCGGTATACGCCATGTCACTCTAAACCAGTGTTTAAAAAAACGTCGAGTCGAATCGGACTCGTCCGGTTCGACTCGAGAATCGCTATGGACGGATCGAATCGGCGAAAAAAATGGGAATCGTTCGGTTCTAGATAGAACAGGATGATTCTGTACAGTGACTCGCCGATTCACTGTACGGGATCGGCGAGTCCGTACAGTGAATCGACGAGTCCGTACGGAAATTTTTTTTTTTTTTTTTTGGTAGTAATCCATGATAGATTTTTTTGTAATACTTGATCGATTTTTTTGTAATCCATGATCGAATTGTTTTTTTTTTTTGTAATCCATGATCGAATTTTTTGTTTTTTTTTTTTTTGTAACCCATGATAGAATTTTTTGTAATCCATGATAGAATTTTTTGTAATCCATGATCGAATGTTTTGTAGTACATGATCGAAATTGTTTTTTTTTTTTTGTTATCCATGATCGAAATGTTTGTTTTTTTTTTATAATCCATGATCAAATTTTTTGTTTTTTGCTTTTTTTGTAACCCATGATAGAGTTTTTTGTAATCCATGATTGAATTTTTTGTAATCCATGATCGAATTGTTTTTTTCTTTTTTTGTAATCCACGATTGAATTTTTTGTTTTTTTTTGTTTGTTTTTTTTGGTAATCCATGATCGAATTTTATGTAATCCATGATCGAATTTTATGTAATCCATGATCGAATTTTTTGTAATCCATGATTAGAAACACAACAAAACACTAACACTCAGGGATTTGGGAATAGTCAGACGCCTGCTAATATCGATGATTCGTTTTTAGATCGAATCAATGAATTGTTAAATGAATTCAATCAATAGCACCAGCGTGACCAAGAAGAACAATAACGTCGTCTATCATTTTATTTTTAGATCATATGTTACTAATTTTATGCTTTATTGTAGTCCATGTATGTTGATATACTTATTCCATGATAATTATATGTTTATCCTTTTGTGTGATGTAAATTAAATGCTGAATGGCGGTTCATGCAGGGAAAGAACATATCAATATTCGTATATTCATTCAAAAACATCAAAATTCTTAATGGAGTACCCTCATTTCTTATTGAATTCCTAAAAAACAATATTTATAATGAATTTTAATAATTTTTTTGGATTTTTTTTAAGCTTTATTCTGACCGATTCACCCAATTCCCGATCCGGATCTCCGATTCCCCGATTCGGATAGGTTTTTTGGAAGCCCGATCCGGGTCACCGATCCGTTTTTTAAACCATTGCTCTAAACAATCAAATTAGAGCCCACCTCAAAAATTTTACTAGAAAAGGTTGTTTTGAAGCCTAAATATTATCAAATTGATCATCTCAACATCAAGATGCATGGACATGAGAAAAAAATGAATTTTAAGTTTTGAAAATAGTATATATTATAACATATTTTTGAACCGTCAATTTTTAAAGTTTTTAAGTATTCATGCTCCATCTACATTATTTTTCAAGCTTTAAATTTTATAATTAAAAATAAAAATATATTTTAAGACTATCACAAAGATTTTCAATATTGAAATCACGACACTATTACTATTGAAGGTACACTTCGATTGTTGAGAGCCTTGGCTCTATTTTTTATTGATGAAAATACCTTTCTTTCATATAATAAATTATTTTCGTTGGAGAGGACGGTCTGGCATTTTGAACAGGCGGTCCGATGATTATTTTTGCTGGAATGGTGGGTCGGTGTTTCATGGTGGTGGTCTAGCATTTCATTTCATGGTGGCGGTCCGACAATTATTATTTTTGTTGGAATGGGTGGTCTGGCGTTTTGAAGTTGCGGTCGGGCATTCTGAAGGGCAGTTCGTTTTGAAGTAGCGGTTCCACGTTTTGAAGTGAGCAGTCCGACATTGTACGTTTCCTTTTATTGAGATAAAAAATGATTTGTTACATGAGGGAAAGGTATTTTCCTTAAAAAATAAAAGAAAAAAAATTTAAGTTTTTGAGTAAGGGGTATTTGCTAGAAAACATGATTACCTTTCCCTCACAAAAAAAAAAAAAAATTAAGTTTTTGTATAAGGGGTATTTGCTAAAAAACATGATTTTTTGTGGGAAGTTGTTAGCCATTTTGGGGGATTTTTGCAATTTTCCTTTAATATCTATATTCTCTTGTTAGAAAAATTGAAAACGGATAGGTTAACCGGACATGGCTTCGAAGCGGTTTAAATGGCCTAACCGGTAAACCGGCCGATTCAACTGCTCTAACTGGACAAGTAGCGGGTGGTCAAGAAAGTGTTTGAAAAAAAATAAAAAATAAAAAATAAAATCTACTAAAATATAAAAAGCGTAGCGTTACAAAAAAAAAAAAAACTAAAATATGAAAAACATATAAAGAATGATTAAAAGCAAAACACATTCAAATGAAGTTGAAAATTAATGAAAAAACTTGATTTTAACCTATTTTATATTTTTCAATGGCTACTTTTTAAATTTTCTAAAAAGCTTAAAAAAATATAAAAGTTAGTATTAATGACCAAAATTTTTTTTAATCTTTATCGTAATGTAAAGAATATTTAAAAATACATTATCTTCAAATTATTTATTTTTTAAAATTTATACACATTTTCTTTTATTTTCTTTTCTAAATAACGATTTATCATCCTACCAGCTCAAAACCACTTGCGGTTAGCCGTTAGATCGGGCTATTTTGAGAACAATGTTCCCCACATTCATTGGAGAACCAAATGCTTTGATGTGTGCGCATTCATTTACCTCTTAGCCTTGTATAAAAGGGGAGTAGGAAGAGGAAAAAGGCTTTAGATTAAATTCTTTGGAACAGAGAGATCAAAGAGAAGGAGAAATGGAGAAGTCTGGTTATGGAAAAGATGGAATTTACAGGTCGCTAAGGCCCCCTGTTGTTTTCCCCAAAGACCCATATCTCAACATGATGTCGTTCATGTTCCGGAACTCATCCTTATATGGCGAGAAGCTCGCAGTTGCTGATGCGGAGACCGATGAGGGGCTGAATTTTAGAGAACTTGAAGTTGTCGTGGATCGAGTTAGAAATGGCCTGAACAAGATTGGCATCAGGCGAGGTGATGTTGTTTTGATTTTTGCACCAAATTCTATGCACTTTGCGACGTGCTTCTTTGGGGTTGTTTCTCTTGGTGCGATTGCCACCACTGTAAATCCGATGTACACTTCAATGGAGGTAGCTAAACAGGTGAAGGATTCTGGTTCTAAGCTTGTAATAACGGTGCCCCAGTTGTGGGAAAAGGTCAATTGTTTGGGTTTACCTGCTGTAATTCTTGACTATGCGAAAACATCTTCAATCAACTCGCAAAGGGGTATTACTTACTACTCTGATCTACTGGAAATGGGGGCTTCCACGAAGAATTCATTACCCGTAGCTAGGGTTAGACAATCAGATACAGCTGCGCTTTTGTACTCTTCTGGCACTACAGGGACCAGCAAGGGGGTCATCTTAACCCATGGTAATTTCATTGCAGCTTCTTTAATGGCTGCCTCTGATCAAGATTGGAAGGGTGAGCTACACAATAGGTTCCTTTGTGTGATCCCAATGTTCCATATATTTGGGCTTTCAATCCTCAATTACGCCCAATTGCAGAGAGGGAATGCAGTTGTTATTATGAGCAGGTTTGATCTTCACCAAATGCTGAGGTCGGTTGAGAAATTCAGAGTTACCCATCTTTTTGTTGTGCCCCCAATCATGATTGCTCTAGCAAAGCAGACTGTAGTGTCAAAGTATGATCTCTCTTCATTGAGACAGTTGGGAGTTGGGGCTGCACCCGTGGGGAAGGATATTTTGGAAGACTGCGCGAGAAACATTCCACTTGCTGAAGTTGTGCAGGTATAATTCTTTTTTTCTGATAAAATGATCTCATTACAGTATAATTCTCTAGTTTAGTATGTAATGTTACTTCATATACATGTGGTGTATGTATGTGGTAGACTCAGGGGGATCCACTGTTTGTTCTAGACAATGAAGGATGCAGATTAACTGCAGTTCCCAGTTATGTGTGCTCAACTGGGAGCTGATATTCTCTGCTGTGCATCAGTGGGAATTGACTGTGGATGTCTGGTGCAGATAAAGATTTGTGTTATTATTTTTTAGTTTTTTAGTGTTATTATTATTTTTAGTTTATTTTTCTTGGGGATAGGAAGAGAGAAGAGATAAGTTAAATGGGTTGTGCGTGAGTTGTTTTGGGAAGCCGATTTATTTAGAGATTCATGGGAGATTTAGATAGATATTGCTTTAGACATGGGAAGGATAAGGGAGAGATATGGAGGCTCATATAGAAGAGAGAAAATAGGGAGAAGAGATTGAGAGAAAATAGGGAGAAGAGATTTACGTGAAAGCGAGAGGGTTTTAAGGTGTGGGAGAGAAAGTTTTAGAGAGAGAAGAGAGTTTTATTTATTTTGGGTTCTTGTTTTTATTTGTTTATTTATTTATTTATCCCTAAAGTCTATTTAAAAAGAAGAAATCCCTCCTCGTAAAGAATGAGAATCGAGTAAATTTGATCGTGTAAAAAGATCTCTTTTTGCGGTGGATTCCCTTGCATAAATTAAGAGAGGGTACATCTTTTAATCTTTTTATTTTAATTTTTTCTTCCTGCATCAATTGGTATCAGAGAAAGTAAGATCTAGTTTTTTGTAATGCCACCGAAAGCTAATCCTGGACAAGCTTTAGAAACTTTGACTAAAGTCATGGAGGATGTTTGAATCGAATTTTGTGAAATGAAGCAGTGGTTACAATGGTTGGAGAATAATCGGAACAAGCTTTAGAAAATTTGACTAACATCATGGAGAATGTTCGAACCGAATTTCTTTAAATGAATCAGCGATTACAGGTTGGACAACAATTTTCATCACAAAGAGGGTGCTTGCAACCACATCGATGTTGTACCAGTAGTCCCACAACAAACTCAGGTGCTGATCCCGATTGTAAGAAAAAAAAAATGTAGACAAGTGACAAGATCCACTTCCTGTAGAGCATGTACGAGATCTATTTCATAGATTGTCGGAGGAAGAAGAATATGAAGAGGTAGATCTTGATGCAAAAGACAATGTTGATAGCCCAAACATGGAAGAAATTTTGAAAATCAATTGTGAAGAAATCAAGATTCATTTTGGTATTAGAGCCAGGTCAGATCTAACTTTTTGTAATGCCAATGAAAGCTAATCGTGCTATGGATGATTGCTTGGGGAAAGCTTTAGAAAAATTGACTAAAGTCTTGGAGGATGTTCGAACATAATTTCGTAAAATGAATCGGCAATTACAACGGTTGGAGAACAATCTTCATCGCAAAGAGGGTGCTTGCAACCACATCGATCTTGTATTAGTAGTTCCACAACAAACTCAGGGTGCTGATCCTAACTGTAAGAAAAAAATTGTAAACAAGATCCACTTCCTATAGAGCGTGTACGAGATCTATTTCATAGATTACAATCAAAGGAAGAAGAACATAAAGAGGTAGATCTCGATGCAAAAGTCGATGTTGATAGCCCAAACGTGGAAGAAATTTCGAAAATCAATTGTGAAGAAATCAAGATTCATTTTGGTATTCTAGAGTTTGGAGTCTCAAACTTTCGCTACAAATCATGTTGGATGAATTGTTTATTTATTAAAGAAAAAGTATTTGGGCTTATGGTGGGATTGCATCACTAGTTTTTGAGAAGACCTCTAAAAGATTTGAGTTCTATAAGCTCGAGTTTGAGCTTTTCCCAACTTGGAGAAAATGATGCAGATAAAGATTAGTGTAATTATTTTTTTAGTTTTTTAGTGTTATTGTTATTTTATTTTTTATTTTTTTAAGGATAGGAAGAGATAAGTTAGGTAGGGTGTGCGTGAGTTATTTTGGGAAGCCTTATCCTTAAACCATAGAAAATCATGTGATAGGTTTAGGAGATTTACGTAGAGCTTCATGAGATATTTAGATAGAGATGGATTAGATACGGAAATGATAAGGGAGAGATATGGAGGCCCCTATAGAAGAGAGAAAATAGGGAGAAGAGATTTACGTGAGAGAGATAGTTTAGGGCATGGGAGAGAGAGAGAAGAGATATGTATTTATTTTGGGTTTTTTTTTTTATTTGTTTATTTTTTCGCTAAAATCTATTTAAAGGGAAAAAGTCTCTCATTGTAAAGAGCAGAAAATGAGAATTGAGTAAATTTGATCTTGTGAAAAGATCGCTTTTTAGGGTGGATTCCCTTGTAGACCTTGAGAGAGAGTATATTCTCTCAAGCTTTTTATTTTTTTATTTTAATTATTTTCTCCTTGCATCAATGTCCCTCCCTGCAGTGGTGAACAACATACTTTTAAAGCTTATTCTTTATTGCTTTCCTGCATAAGGTATATTTTGATCTCTTTTGCTTTTGCACATGAAGGGTCTATAACTTAGAATTCAACTCCCCAAACTTGGTTGTCTTAGAAAGGCATGTATTTTCATAAATGAAATGCAAGTGGGAACCACTGATCATGAATTTTTATTATGTTGCTATGCATCTTGTGGGGCGATTTTACTTTTGTTGGATTGAGCTTCTTTCATCTTTCCTTTCATATGGACAGGGAATTCAGTGTGAGCCGCATTTAATTTCATTTAATTTTGGACATGAGAATGGTTAGAAACTGCCAGTTATCTTCTTTTTTCTGTGAAGCCATCGTGTTTGCTCAAGAATGAGAATCTGAAGAGTGAGTAGAAGGGCAAGTCAGAAAATGAATGGAAGAAACGGATGATACCGAAACTGGGATTTGACAAAATAGGGAGTCCTTTATCTATGAATAAATGGATACCATGAGGAAATGGGCAGATGGTGGCAACGAGAGATTTATGGTTTGCATATTTGTGACTCAAAAATGAGTAGGATGAAGATACCGCTATTGTACATGTTAAATCACGTGCAACATAGAGAAGTTACAGTGGCATGACACTTAAAGTACATAAAAAACATATGACACATGTAGTGGTGCAGTTCATCTATGTCTAGCTGTTTCTAAGTGCATTCATAAAAATGGGAAAGTAAAAGAAGTATAATTGAGTGTGTTCCAATGTTCAAAATTCAATGCTAAAAGAGGGTAGAAGTTGTGGAAGTATATGATCATCATTAGAGCCTTATCCCAACTATTTGAGGTTGACTACACGAATCCTGTTTTGCTAGTGTGTTCTATCATGGACCATACCCTCAATGAGACTTTGGACTAAATATGGTACCAATGTTATAAACTACCAAATAAGATACCTATGATTTAAGCCCTCCACCCCCTCCCGCGGACCCCACCACCCATCAGCCCGCCATCCCCTCCTTTCCCTCCATTTATTATAGGGAACCCAAGAGCCACCTAGGCCCTCCCTGAGCCTAGGAGGGCCCCTAGAGGGAACCTGCCCAGGGTTTAAGGCACTGCCTAGGCTCCAAAGGCGCCCCATTTTATAAACACTGGCATTCGGCTCTCTTATTGTAACACTAATTTTGTTAGTATAGAGGGCGGCAACCTGGTATCCTTGAGAAACCAAGTCCGTAAAATTTGTTTTTTTTTATATTAAAAATAGTAGACTTAAAGGATGCTATGTACTCTTTCCTACATTTCCATCAGACCATGAAACAACATAAGGCAGATGTCTTCATGAGATTTTGATAGCTGATCTAAAATATTTCTTGATGGTTAAAGTTTTTTACCCCAGACCTATTCATGTTTTTTGCGGTGGTGTTAAAGTTTGTATGGGTAATTCTTACAGGCTACATAATTTGATTAATCCTTGTAAGTATAGCTCTCTCTTCTTCAGGGTTATATTCTGTTTGTTCTATCCATATTTTGCCCCTTTTGTAACATTTTACTGGAGGATTTCCTGTAATTCGTTGATTAGTATAATTATAAAGTGATGTCATTTCTAAGCAAACAATTCTTTAATATCAACAATGCATTCGTTGTAGATCACAAATAATGCATGCTTTGAGCGATTATTCCAGATGAAGAATAATCTTTCAGATAATATTGGTTGACAACATTTCATATGTTCCATGATGGCAGGGGTATGGTATGACGGAATCATGTGGAATTATTTCACTTGAAATGCGAATGAAGGGCAAGCATCATTTTGGATCCACTGGATTTCTTGTTCCAGGTGTTGAAGCTAAAATAGTCAATGTTGACACGTTGAAGCCTCTTCCTCCTAATCAGTTAGGAGAAATATGGATTCGTGGACCACATATCATGCAAGGTAGGACTTCCAATTTTCCTTCCATTTAAATCCTTCTTTTCCCTATTGAAATTCCTATAGAAGATCATGTTTGGATGATATTCATCTCTGCACTTGAATATTATACTTCTTTATGAATGTTTGTCAAATACCTCATAAGTGCCTAATTTGCAGATCACACTTTGTTTGGTTACACAAGGACATCTTTGTTTAATTAGGAGGGCTACCGAATTCCAAAATGATTTCTTCTGGCATCTTATGTTTTCTTGGTTCTGGATTTAATTGTTTAAACTTCAACTAGATTCTCATACATGGAGTTGCTCATAAGCCCATAAGGCACCAAGAATATGTGTATACAAAATTTTTGGTTAAACTTCATTTTTGGGTGACCATTTTCCTCAAACAACTTTAGAACATTTGCATTTCACTTCTTTGGATTTTAATTTTTTTCTCCTTTTTTTTTTTTAGTTTGATGAAAATGAAAGTGGGTTTCTTCCATTTTTATAAGAAATTCTATGATGATGTTAGGAACATATTTTGGGGTCCCTCTATATTTCTTGTTTGGTGATGTTTTATTGTGGTGAGGAACATCGCTCTTGATTTTGCATGGTCCCAAGGGTGAACACTTTAGCCATGGTCCATCCCCAAATCCATCACTCTTGATTTCATGAGGGACCCCCAAAGGACATAAAACCCATCTTCCCTGCTCTTGGATCACTCTCCTCTAATGAGCACATTATTTGGACCACAAACTTGCTCCATGCTCTTGATTTTGCATGGTCCCAAGGGCGAACACTTTAGCCATGGTCCGTCCCCAAATCCATCACTCTTGTGTGGGTCCCCTAAAATCCATCTTCTCCGCTCTTTGGTCACTCTCCTCTAATGAGAAAATTATTTGCAGCTCAAACTTGCTCCAAAGTGCCCTCATGATAGACTCACGCCATCCATTAAATGGACTTTATATACTTGGGGGATTTGGTGTTTTTCTGAAGCTTCATATTATTTTTATTAGTTGAAGGAGAGTACTTTGGATATTCTTTAAACCATTTGTGGTTTGCTAACCCACTGATAAGTGATGAGTTTTGGAAGGCAATATTGCTACAGTATTTTCTCTCTGGCTCATCAGATACTTTATGATTTCAAACACATACACTCATAGAACCTGTGACTCACCTTGTGTATGGCATCCAGATGTTCTACAGAATGTAGAAAGATGAATATTGTAGAAAACATGGATGGTCAGCCATCCTAATTACGGGATACACCTTGAGCAGTATTGTGTCAAGGATTCTAGAAATCAGCATGCTTTAAAACTGTAATTACATATGAATTCCATTGTTATAATGATCTTGGGATTGTTAGATAAGTTAGGGTATGATCTTGATGAACAACATGGATAATAGCCATAAGGTGATTATGGTGTGAGTCATTCATTATGGCATGCAGCATAGTGAGGCATACGAAAAGAACGGATACGGAAACACCATTTTTTCATAGGCTGTGGTGCTCTGTCATTATGTATGCCCCTTTACCTTAAAGGATTTATAGTTTACTTGTTTTTTAGATAAATAATCTTTTCATTGAAGATGGAAGCATACTTCAAGCTGTGCGTATTTAGGAAGCGTACAAACTCAGGCATAATCACCAAAATGAAAAATAAGAAATGGGGAGACAAGAGAGCTAGGGGGTTGTGGGGAGATCTAGTAGGTGTGGGCAAAGGGCTCATGGACCAAGCAATGGGCTCGTCACGTATGATTAGATTACTGCATTTGTTTCCTCTTCATTTGCCCATCTAATCATATCATTTGCCTCTCTATTGACATGACTGAGTATACACCCGATAGCATTGCTCAAAACAAGAATCTCCTTCATAATGTCTGCCAAACACCAAGGACGGATTGATGGTTTACTAGTGGATGCAAAACATGCATGTCTTCTCTAACTTCGTCAATCTAACTCGACATTTACAGGGATTTTACGACTGATACACACACACACACACACAAAGAACATGTGATTTTCTTCATGTGTGGCATCTTAATGTTGCATAGTATGATGTAGTAAACATGGATGGTCAGTCAGGCACCCTTATCATAGAGTACACCTTGAACAATATTATATCCAAGATTCTAGAAATCAGCATGCCTTAAAGCTCTAATTATATATGAATTCCATGAATATAATGATCTTGTGATTACTAGATAAGCTATAGTATGATCATGATTAACAACATAGCTAATGGCAATAAGGTAATTTTGCTGTGGCTTATTCATCATGGTATGCAGTGTACTGAAGTATACAAAAAGAATGGCCAGGAAAATACCATCTTTCATATGTTTTGGTGCTTCATCATGATATATGCCTTTTTCCCTTAAATGATCCGTAATTACTTTTTTCAGATTTAGATGATTAACCCTTTCGTAGAATGGGAAAACATACTTCAAGCTGTGCTTATCTAGAAAGCATACAAACCGGGCATACTCATCAGAAAGAAAATAAGCACTAGAGCTCTAGGGGGATGGGGTTTGATCTCCTAGATGCCTGGAGTGGTCATGTACTTGGACTTGTCTTTATGTGTAGATAGCTGTCTGTTTCCTCTTTGTCTGGCCCATATGCCGTATTGTTTGCCACTCTATTCATCTGAGTGAATACACACCCAAGAGGATTGCTTAATACAAGAATATCCTCCATAATGTCTGCCAAGGACCAAGATAGATTGATTTAGTTTTTTTTTAAAGAGTTAACTATTCTATTAAAAAGAATGGAGGTAATACAAGAATACAAGTTGTCAAAAAGAGGCTTCCGACAAGCTGGGAGCTCGATACAAAAAATAAGCTTCCGAGAGGCTGGAGCTCTATACTAAAAAGAAAAGTCTGCTCACGAGGGAGCGGCCCTTTACAAAAATCAACGAGAGGGTGAGAACAAGGGAAAAACATAAAAACGATGCCCCCTGCATGATAGGAAGCTCATAGAAGAAAGGAAGGGTGCTACAAAACTCATGTTGTGATGTTGAGTGCTCCCTCCTTAGCGAGGATGTCCACTGCTGTGTTGGCTTTGCGTCAAATATGCTTCCATGAAACGACCATAGGCCTGCAAATGTGAGTAATCTTGTAAAAAATGTGTGCTAGGTTCAAGGGCAGGGGGAAGAACCTGAAGCCCAGCAAATGACGTTCTTGGAGCCAACTTCAATGATTAAATTTGACCTCCACTGGGGATTAAAGCTCGTAAGCCCCTCAAGAAGGGCTAAGGCCCCAGCCGTATGTAGAATCCGAATGGTCTATTTGTTTGGAGAACGAAAATAGTATGTGAACCTCGTGGTTTTTGAAAAGACCTCCAATGCCAGAGGGACCTGGTTGCCAAGGGAACAACAATCAAAGTTTAACTTCGCCTGGCTTGGTTTAGGCGGTCTCCACAGGGAGGCCTAAAGAATGTGGTATTACCTTGAAGGTCGCAAAAGTTGCCAATCTTAGACAAAAGCATTATGGGGGAAGCTTTTGTGATTGGTGGCCCAAAAAATGATCATGGATATAAGTTTGTCAAACAAGGCCGAGCGAGTGGACCTTTTTCCTCGAAAGTCCGACTGTTTCTTTCCGTCTAAATAACCCAAAGAGTGGCTGCCATGAAGCCTTCCACAAAATGTGTAGGCTTAGGGTCAGGGGAAGGGTTGAAGGGATCTGAAAAGAAGGGGGGTTTGACTTGGGGGTAACCCATTGCCACACGAACAGTTGGTGAATGACTCCCCATAGTTCCTTGGCCAGGTGACAATGGATAAATAGATGAGAGTTGGATTCCTCATTGGCTATGCATATCACACATTTGTTACGGATGGGTAAACCCCTTCTTTGGAGTTGGCCTTTCGAACTGGGCTATCAATTTAAAGACTTGAAATTTAGGGGGAGCAAGGGAGGACCAGGCTTGAGCAATAATGGAAGTGGGAGAAGGGGAGTGGTTGTAGAAGCCTGTGGTAGAAAGAGGAGCCCGAGAAGACTCTCGAGGGAGAGGGGCACCAAATGATGAGGTTTGGACCTTAGGGGATGAGGAAAGTGGTATGGAGGAGGGAGAGGTTGTGGAAGTCTGAAACCTGTGATTCAAGGGTCTCTAAAAGGTCGGGTCCCACGCACGAGTTCAGACAAGGGCCTGGATTGTTGGGTCTTAGATGACCTAGATCCCTCCCGATGCCCTTGTCGCCGCTAAGGCAACCCAATTGGCAGTGTCTCTGGCCCCACACTCGTTGGATGATTGGAAGCCGTTAAGGCAACCCAATTGGCAGGGTCTCTAGCCCCACACTCATTGGATGATTGGAAGGGAAGGGGAAGGAAGTTTGGTTTTAGCAAGAACTAAGATAGCCAGGGAGAGTTTTTAGCACAGGTCTCGAACTGCACTGCGTTTGTTGGGCTGCCCCAAACCCCATAATATTCTAGGAGAAAATCAACGTGGTAGAGGATTTGGAAGGGAGATGTGGCTAGGGGAGCGTATCGGGAGGTACCCTCTTATTGAGACAGGGGTGAAAGTGGAGACAGTTGAGGGTGAAGGGGGGTAGGACTGATCGTAATTGATCTCGAATGCCAGGTCGGAGAGCACTCTTTTGCCTTTGCCATTTACCTGAGTCTAGTCTTGGCTTCTGCATTGTAGAATGCATGGAAATGTCCTTCAGAGCCATCATAGTGAAAACCCATGACTTTTAGGACCTCCTGGGTGTTACCTTGAGTTGTGTTCACTTTGTCCACGAACTTAGAGTCTGCTGAGTGGGGAGAGGTGGGGTTAGAGGAGCTGGCTGCTTAAGAGGCTTTGACAAGGGAGATAGGCGACTGATCTGTTGTGGAGTGGTGGGGGGTTCCACTAGGGATGGTGAGACGGGCCCAGAAGAATGGGAAAGAGGGGATGGAGGGTAAAAGATGGAGGAGGTGGAGGGTAGAAGGCCATCTGCAGCCCGAGGTGAGGTCGACTGTCGTTTACAGGCAGAACCAGTGCCTGGGGAATTTGCTGAGAGGAGGCGGCTGACAATTGCTTGCACAATGGAG